GACCTGAAGATACAGTGTTACGAGGAGTGAATATAAATAAAGTTATGAACGTCTCTTTACTGTCCAGAAATCATAAAAAGCTGTTCAAATGATTCTAGTCCAAACCTCCTGGGACTGTGGCAAATCGAGACGCCTACAACAACTTTGTGCTGGAAGAAAATTTGCTGCACTAATTCTCTGAACATGTTCAAGCTGTGAGAGGAGGGGGACACCCTGGACGTGTCTCCAGTCCATCACAGGGACACTCAGGCTACTAAATCTGATATGTTTTCAAAGAGACCTCATTCTGATCCGTCATGTTGTATTTCATCTGACTTCACTGAGTCAGAGGTAAGCCGATTCATCCAAGTAATAATGACGACATCGTCATCTTCATCTGTTAATTGTCTTGATTTGTTTTAATTTGATGACACAAACTCAGTTTGATGTTTCTGCTGTTCTTGGAGTCAAACCATATTAACATTAAACACAATTTTGCCCAAGATTATAGCAAACAAGGGTCTCTCTTTAACTTTATTTTCTTCAAAAACTCCCAATGTTCTCTCCAAGAGAGTGTCAGCTTCACACGTTTAAAATATCTGCAGATTTTGTTAATACACTTGATTATAACCACAAAAACAAGGTTTTGACACTTGGGATCTTCTAAGCTGGCTTATATTTAAAATCAAACTGTGACCTAAAGGTACTTTGATAACTGTAATGAAATTATTGATCAAATGTGAAAAATAAAATATATATTTGCATTGATTTTCTTTATATGTTTGTCTGGAGTCATGCAGTTATTTAATGTTCAGGTACTTTTAGCCACATAAAAGTCCATAAATTATATTCAATTTTAACAATATAATAATGTGTTTTTGCTTGTATAAATCTATTTTAAAAATTATAACGCAGGCTTTGCACACAATAAATTAATTTTATTTGCCAGACTAAAATATAATTTGCTTAAAAATGGCTATTTCACTTTAAGGGATCAGATCTGAAAGATTTGCATTCATGTAGTAAATACTTGAATATTTGCCACATTGTTACATTTGTTCTGCGGCGCAGGAAGGTGGTGGGCACTGTGTTTGAGAAGCAAACGTTTGGGACTCACTGCATTAATAACGGGACCCATAGGAGGTGGAACTAAAGATGTTTTCTGTGAAGCTACAGGTGTAAACAGAAAACATCCTGAATCCTGCAGCCGACTGGTCAAAGACCACCTGTGACCTCTGCAACACACACACACACACACACACACACACACACACACACACACACACACACACACACACACACACAGAGAGAGAGAGAGACAGGAAGGAGGTGCCTCAGACACGGGTCCAGGACTTTTGTAAAAGGTTCTTTAAAGACACCAGGTGCGGAGCCCCCCTACAGATTTGATCCTAGGACCGCCCCTGCTGCAAACTTCTTAAAACTTCTTAAACTTCCAGCAGATAATCAGACTATTATCTAAAAAAAAACAAGTAAAGAAGCTTCAGGCCAGGAAAACTCTGAGCCTCAGTCCCAATTTGATTTGATCTGAATCAACCTGTTGGTTATAAAAACTGTTTCTGAACATTCATCTTTGATTTCTGCTGCAAACTTAATAAATATAAACGTAATAATCATTATCATTATAATAA